CCAAGTTTCTGGTCACCCGGCCCTTTCCCCTGGAAATAAAAGAGGAGAGAGGGGAAAAAGTTTCTGGGAAAAATAAATCTGTTTATTTAGATTAGAGGGAGGAAATGCAAGGCCCACATTTCAATTGCTCCTGCGTTTGAAATGTCAGATCGTATATTTTGGTTTGTTAAACAGGTGGGCCCTTCATTTCCAGCTGATAGTGCTAGGTTAGGGAACACACACATCACACAACACAAAACACACAAAAGACATACACAGTCACTTCCCACAGTCTCTTCTATCTCTATCCATCCATCCATTTATCTATCTATCTGTCTATGCAATTTATTTAACTATGCAATCTATTTATCTATCTATCTATGCAATTTATTTAACTATGCAACCTATTTATCTATCTATCTATGCAATTTATTTAACTATGCAACCTATCTATCCTTCTATCATCTATCTATGCAATTTGTTTATCTATGCAATCTATTGATCTATTTACCATCTATCTAAGCAACATGTTTATTTATGCCATCTATCTATCTATCCCTATCTATCTATCTATCTATCTCTCTATCTCTCTATCTAGCTATCTATCTATTCTTTAGCTATGCAATTTGTTTATCTGTGCAATTAGTTTATCTATGCAATCTATTCTCTAAATCTATGTAATTAGATGATGATGATGATGATGATGATGATGATTTGTATCTCGCTCTTTTCCCAGAACTGGGACTCAGAGCGGCTCATCTGTGCAATCTATTTATAGAGCTATTTATCCATGCAATATGTTTATCTATGCTATCTATCTATTTACCTATTATCTATCTAGGCAAAAAAAAAATGCAATTTGTTTCATAAAGACCAAAGAGATAAAACATATTGTAAAAAATGAAGATAACTTTCTGGCCTTGTATCACACACTTTAGTGCAAATATTAAGACACAAATAGTGTTCAATTCAGCAAGTACTAAAGAACGTCAGGCTACAAAGTCCAACTCAAAGAGGGTATCTGTCTCTATCCATCCATCTTTCCATCTATCCATCCATCGCTCTCTCTCTCCCCCCTTCCTAACTCTATACAAGATCTTCCTCCTAATATTTGGGTAAAATCTCATTTCTTGCAATTTGCATCCATTGCCCTGAGTCCTATTCTCTGGAGCAGCAGAAAACAAGCTTGCTCCATCCTCAATATGAAACCCCCCCCTTCAAATATTTAAAGATGACATGAATGCAGTTTTACACCTCTTTAACTGCCACGGCTCCACGCTCTGGAATCCTGGGACTTGTAGTTTGTTGTGGCACCACAGCTCTCTGACAGAGAACGCGAAATAGCTCACAAAACTACAAATCCCTGAATTCCATAGTATTGAGCCATGGCAGTTAAAGCGGTGTCAAAGTGCATTCATTCTGCAGTGTAGATGCAACCTACACGAAACGAGATCCATTCATATACCACAGGGGTCAAATGTGCCAGCGTGGTATAGTGGGTTGAGCAGTGGCCTAGGACACTGGGAGACCAGGGTTCGAATCCATGGCCATGGAAACCCTATGTGAAAGTCATACTCTCTCAGCCTCAGAGCAAAGCAGAGGCAACCCCCTTCTGAACAAACTTGCCAAGAAACCCATTAGGATAGCTTCGCCTTAGGGTTGCCATAGATCAGGAACGACTTGAAGTCACACAACAACAAATGTGCATAAGACAACAATAAATGCGCATGAAACAGCCAATGAGGCCATCATCTTTTCCTGCATTTTTGGTGACCCGCAGGCAAAAGAAATATGCGCAGTCCCAGGTCATGGATTTCTTTCCAACAACCAAGAAGGAGGAGAAGCACTAGCATCCAGGATTTTCTTCCAAGTTTTAATATAGAACTGTTGATTCCTTTGTTATGGTTAAAAAGTGCAGCGTTTCCTACGGTCAACCCACAACGTTCAGCTCTCACGAGAAGGAGAAATGCACAATTTCGTTATGATTGCTGCGGAGTAACACAAAAACAGGAAGCGTATGTTCAGGGCAGGATTAAAAAACCATGTCATGTTTAAGAGGCTGCATTAGTTGTTGGCTTGGGATCATGGTGACCCTCCAATTTGCTAGCAGCCTTGCTTAAGTCTTGCAAACTCAGGACGGATGCAGCCTCCTTGATGAGACGATCCATCTGTCACAGTCTTTTCCCTACTGCTTTCCACTTTTCTCCCCATTATCCATACCCTCCATCTGTCCCTATAAATAATACAGTCCCAATAAATAATAATAATAATATCCCACCTTCCTCCTGGTATAAGGACTCAAGGTGGCTAACAAAATTTAAAACAGTAAGTTAAAACAGTATGAAACATTACAAATAAAAAGTTGTTTTTAAAAAAATAATAATAATCCCCTGCTTTCCTACTTTCCAGTTGCTTTTACAATGTCCTGGTTTTTTCACTCTTCCTCCCACTTTTGTCCCTGAGCTTACTTCAGTTGCTGCAAACTGAGCTCAAATTGCAAAAGTCATAGAATCGTACGATCACAGAGTCGGAAGAGACCCTCAAGGAACCCTAGGATTTGTAGCTTTGCAAGGTCTTTAGCTTTCTCCACCAAAGAATGCGGGTGCCTCCCCAAATTATAAATTCCAGATGCTATAGGATGGAGCCTCTGCAGTTAAATTGGTGCCAAATGGCATTATTTTTACCATGTAGATGCATCCTTAAATAGACTGAGAATGAGAGAAACTGTAGTCTGAAGCCAGGGACATAATAAAAGAAGAATGCAAATGGACACTTTCAATAAACAAAAAGAAAGAGAAAAAACCATGGATGACAAACAAAACACTACAAGCAAAAAAGAAAAGAAGAGAAGAAAAACAAAAGGGAGATAGGAACAAACTAAGGATCATAAATGTAACAGTACAATGGCTTCTGCGGAAAAATAAAGAAAATTACTACAATGACCAATGCAGAGAAACAGAAGGCAACAACCAAAAGGGAAGAACAAGAGATCTATTTCACAAGATCCGGGAAATCAAA